ACTCCTCTGCGCTTGTGTGCTCCCCCCCATCCTCTTGCAGTTCCCATTTAGAGACACGTGATGACAGCAGCGACCACTTGCGAGAGCTCTGCGAATGTGCGCCAGCCCTTCACGAGGCAGTACCGACTTTGTGACATGTGGTCGCAGCGGTCATCGCTGCCAAGCGACCTTTACATTCATCCCTGCTCCCCCTCCTCTGCTGTTGCAGTATCGGCTTGTCGGCATATGGGAAGAGCAGGGAGCGCTCCCGAGCGCCCCCCCCACACACACTTTACGCATGCAGCATAGAGTGTCCGACACGGGATGGTACCAGTGAGTGGCATCCACATTCCATGCTGTAGTATCCTTTCTCAGGTATATGCGGGCAGCAGGGAGCATTGCATGACTCACAGTGCCTGTGAGTCGGCCTTTGGTCTGTGATTCTGCTTCACTGACAAGTTCTGGGAGCTTCCTTGATTTCCCCAAAGAACCCCCTCATTATGTACAGATACGTATGTATCCACCATCCGTACCTAGAATGAACTAGACAGCTTCTTCTAAGCCTGCTGCAAGAAAAATATTGCCTCCCAGCCCATTCTTGAATTTTCTAGGGGCTTAATATGACATCTCCAGTCTGGAGGCGCTATCAAAATGGTGTCTTCATGCCCCTTTCACTTGCAGTAGTGTTTTATAGAGACCTGACTGCCACCGATAATGTGTGGGAACAGAGGGCATATGTGCACCATTCATTTGCAGTACCTACTATTCGACACGTGAAAGCCGCACGGAGCACGAGGGAGCCTGCACACACACCACGCTCCTTTTCCATTGTAGTATTTGGTCCAGCTGCACGATGGCAGCAGTGAGGGCTCCAGGGCGCTCTGCGCATGTTCTCCAACTTTGCAGACGCTGTACAACCGCCTAGCCAGACGATGGCAGTGCAGTACAGGACAAGTGGTGGCACGTATGTGTGGCCACTGGCAGCTAGGTGCATGCGCCTTGCGAGTCTAGCTTCAGCACAAGCGCAGTCCTGTGTCCCTTCGGCGCATGCACATAGGTAATCACACAGCGTGTACATGCATGCACACTCCACCAACAGGACATCTTTCTTACACATGGTCAAAACGCTGCTCTAGTTTCCACAAGAGCTGAGTTTTTATTCTTAAATCATGATCACACTGTCACTGCCATTAGGGTGTGACACACAGAGGTCAAAGTTCAGAGGGCATCCCCTTCTCAAGTCTGTATTGGCCATTCAGTCTGTGCTTTCTGAGATTTGAGGCCTTTGATTTTCTTCCTGTTCTCCTAGAATGTTTGCCTGCAGTGAACCCCTTTTAGCTTTCCTATCCAAGCCCTCATGACTCATGCTGATCTGGTTTTATTACTTCCCTGGTGAGGGTGGCCACTGCAATAGCTGTCAAGTTAACTCTATGTTCTGGCTGCACCAGGTGCTCTAGCACTAGGTGCTCAACAGTTTGGAAATCTGCTACATGCCACTGTGCTACATGCACAGTGAAGTTGTGCAAGTCCTCCCAATGTTTGCTCACCTCCACAAATGCCATCGTCAGCCCTTTCTCAAGGTCCTGGCTAAAGTTGCAGACCCCAAAGTCCACCTTCCAAGCCACAAACAACGGCACTGAAAGCAAAGGGTCTGTGTTATTCCTGCAGACAAGCACTCCCTTGAGAGAGAAAGAGAACAGAAGAAGCAAGAGAATCCTCATTCCACAGGGCTGCCCACCACTGCAGTAATTCCCCAGTCCTTAACAGCTGTGGCAGCAGTACTTAGATCGCAGAAAGACTCTACAAGAAAAAAAATCCACTGAAATAATCCACTGAAATATCTTTGCTCTAGACAAGTTGGCTAGCTTATAGGAATTGAGCACTGCTACACTGAAATCCTCTATACTCAACAGTTTGATGGAAAGCTGAAAAATAGCAAATTCTTCATAGAGCGATATCTAATACTTAACCTGCATATTTAGCCCATTGATGTAGATTTAAATCATTTAAGTTTAAATCATTTTCATCATTTAACCATTATCACATTCTGTCTCTCTAGGGCATTTTGCAGTTCAACTACTACAGGATGGCTTAGCTTTTCTCACCTTTTAAATAACCACACGTGCACTGCTGCTCTTTCTTTTGAGACGGAGTGTTTCTCGAGTCGACGGTCACACTGTTCCTCTGCCCCCAACCGGAATATACCTTGCCCCTATAATGGACGCTTCCAAAGATCACCTGGTTGTGGGGCGGTTCTTCCAGGTTTTGCTGACCGGGCAGACAGGCCCTTCTTTTGTAGCTCCAGTTTGTAACAGGTAACTCACGACACAAGCCTGCATGTGTTACAGCTGCTCTAGCAGGATGGCATTCCCCCCAGGGCAAACCAGGATATCAAACTAAACTGCCAGGAGCTGCTTTTGTAACCCAACTGCTTCCCAAGAGGGAACACAGAGTTGCACAGCACCTAGAACAAGTTGAAGGGGGGAAAAAAAAAGGAAAAAAATAAAGAAAAAAAAAGTGGGCTTAATGGAACTGGTAGCTCCCCAGGGAAGCCACAGCTCTATATTTCCAGGCAGAGGACGTGCACAAAGAGACGAGAGAAAAAGGAAGCACTCAACACTTGCAGAGTAAGGCAAAGGTGTTCATGGGGCTCTGCAGCACCAAGAGAAAACTCGATAACACAAGGCTCTCTGGGGGAATCTAGTGCAGACTAAATGTGTCTTCTGGAGAGCAGAGAGCAACTGCTCGAGAAGCCCGAGCAACAAAAGAAGCCTGAGAGCAAGGACCAATCCTGCCCAGGACAAGGAGCAGCCTAGCCCTGGCGAGCACCCTGCTCTGCCCTTCCCACCCCCATCACTTCCACTCCAGCGCGCCCTTCCTCCCTCCTGCTCCGCGGCCCAGGGCATCACTCTCACCCACCACGTCCCAGGCCCCGCCGCCCTTCCCAGCCCAGGGGCTGCTGCCCCCAGGGCCACGTGGCGCGAGACCCCCGCAACGGGCGGCATCCCCAGCCCCAAGCGCTCCCTGGGCCCGCTCCTCTCCTCCGGTGCCGAGCCCAGTGGCAGCTGCTGCTCTGCTGCAGCGCCCGCCTCACAGCACGGCCCCAGCGTGAGCTGCCCTGAACGGCCGTCCTGGCCGCAGCGCGTGCCCGCCCCCCCTGCAGCTGCAGTGCTGAAAGCGGAGGCAGAGCCCTGGCCCAGGCACAGGAACACAGAGGGGGCAGTCAGGTGTGTGCAGTGCCCGTCAGCCCCCATGTCCTGCGGGGAGGACAACCCTCACAAGGACTGGGGGCCAGGCAGGCATGGCCCTTGTCCCACAGAAGGCCTATGCTGGGAGCCACTGGCATCTTGCGGTTATCATCACAAACAACACTCCCTGCACAAGTGGATCACCTTGACCACTTCCCAAATCCATTCGGGTTTAATATTAACCCTGGCCTTTCAGAGCTGGAGCTAGGTTCTCCCTGGATGCAGTATGGATGTAGGGGAGAACTCTGCATTCAATTCAGCTTCTTTGAGGAAACTGCTTTGAGGAAACTGCTCAAAGAAACTGCTTGCAAGAAGTTTGCAAGTCTTGCAAGAAACTGCTTGCAATTTTCACATAACTGTATAAGTATAGCTAGAATCCAGGAGGAATGAATAATGGACAATAAAATATTACGACTGCCTCAGAATATACAGCATATTAAGGGAAGACAACAGAGATGAATATTGGAGAATTCTTACACACATTTAATAGACAAAACTTAATCAGTGTTTTTAATGTTTCTAAGAGTTAATGCTACAGTGCATTTTACTCATAGACTGCACTCAGCATTTCTTTTAAAAGTAACAAAGAGAATAAAAATTCACACTTACATGTAGCAATTCTTATTTAATAAAAGTTTTATTAAAGTTTTTAAAGAATGGATAAATTGATCAAAACTGGGATTTGAAGGAAACACATTTAAAACAATCTCCCCTTCCAAATACAGGAAACTCCACTTCTCTCCCTGGGAAAACATCTAGGAAGTTTTTATTCTGAGGTCCAAGGTTGTTATGGCACTAAGCAACAAAGCAAGGTAGAGACAGGTGGGGTCACGGCTTACTCATCTAGCCACAATAATTACTCTTTTAGGCCTCGCTGATTATTGCAATTAAAGAGACCAAAATAAAACTGCACACAGGCAGCTGAAGCATCACACAGACCTTGTGACCCTGCTAGCAACAGCAGTGCCATAGTTCCTGGGTTAGCAGTCGCCACCACTCACCCTTTGCTAGTTTATAAGTTGAGACTTATTACTCACTGCTCCAGTGAAAGATGCTGACAACCTCCATGCGTCCAAAAGCTCTTCTTCTGGATCAGGCGAAGAACCTTTCCTCTTGCATCTGGATCCTCCTGGCTGCTCTTGACACCCGATAGCTCACAAAGGCCTGAGGGTGGTATACCATTCTTCTCATATTCTTAAGGCCTAGATTTAACACAATTCATAAATACAAATATGCCACCACTACAGGATGTAAAGCCAAGCTGAAGTTTCCACAACCAAATAAAACCTTTGTAACTGACAGAATGAGACAACCCTGCTCCAGGACCCACTTTCCTCACCCCCGGGCCCTTCCCCTTCCTGCCCGCTCCCCCCCCC